GGAAGCTCGCGCGGCACCCTGAGCGCGCCGCACACGGAGCGCGCGGACTCGGGCGAGCGGCCGGCGCCTCACGCGAGGGTGGGCTTGAGTTTAAATGGCAGGAAGTGACGCCGCCGGCGTTGCCTGGAAACGCACTCTCCGCCGGCGGTGGGGGGCGGCCCGAGAGGAGGAGGGCTTCCTCCGGCGAGCGGGCCCGAGACTGTGGTGCCCGCCGGCATCTTAGCCACCGCGCTGGCCGGCGGGTCTCGCCGCCCTGGTTTCTCTCTCGCACCTGTATCAGGTGCAAGTACTGGAAGGCTCAACTTCGCAAGAGTAGGAGAACGCGGCGCCTCGGAAGATTTTGGATTCTGATCTTCAGTCCTTTCCAAAGCCTTTTCTGCAGAGACGAAGGCTTTGAAGGCGGCGGATCCCTAACCCCTGCCTTACCCTTTACCTTCTTTAGCAAACTTTATTGTTTTCTTCCCCAACAATAGTATTATTTGTGTATGTATAAAGCAGCATCTTGTGCTTCAGTGACATCCTAAAATACAGGTGGCTGGCGAGATCACACGGATATGAGAGAAGGAAATGTGCGTTCCCACCGCTCGTTTTATTTGCGAGCCTGAGAATCAGGATAAAAACTTCTACAACTTGGTCTTCGCGCCCGTTAAATAGCGTTCACGCTTAGGCTAAAAACATCATTTCGCAGGAATTGATAAAGATATATCCTACACGCAAGAATACCCAATTTAACAATAGAGAAAAAAAAATCAAGGAAATGAAAGCGACAACTGACAACATTAACAAATCCTGGAAACCATTTTAAACAAAAATATGCTTTCCCTTCATAGATAATAGTTTATTAGCCACTGTTTTTGTCCAAAGAACACAATAAGTAAAGTTTGACATTAAGAATCTGAAATAAAATGAAAAAACCATCAGTTAATACAATAATAGTAAGCAAATAAAAATTTACAAATTTATTGATTATAAGTTTCTTGAATTTTTTTATTGATGGCATTTTTCTTTTTTATTTATTATTCTCTCATACATTATATCCCAGGATGAAACCTGCAGTCTCCTCTCCCTCTCCTTTTCCCCAGTTCTCCCTCCCCATTCCATTCACCTCCCCACAGAAAAGAGGAGGCCTTCAAGGGATGGCAACTGAATATGGCATAACAAACTACAATAAGACTGGGCACATAGTCTCATACCAAGGCTGGACTAGGCCACCCAGTAGGAGGAAAAGGGTCCCAAAGAAAGGCAAAAAAATTTCACAGACAGCCTCCCCCTCCCCCTTCCCTCCAGCCTGTAAGGATTCCTACAAGCAAACCGAACTACACAAACTTAACATGCGTGCAGAGGGCCTAGGTTGTGGAGCACGTATGTAGACTGTGCCACCAGGAAAACCAGCATGAAGCTAGAGAGAGGTTATGATGTGTCCATACCCTGAACATCTCAGTTTTGAGAATGGACAAGTAAGGATTGTTCTGCGCCTGAATCCTCAAGGTAGTAAAGTAACCAAGTACTGGAATGCCTCTCCATGAAAATGAGGCAACCCAGTACCTTAAGCCAATGATAAACACTCACGCAGGAAATCCCCTCCCACTCCCCAAAGTCATATAGCTCTTGTTCACCCCAAATAAAGACACACACAGGCTGTTTCACGGAATATCGTCTAAGAGCTGCTGTTTCACTGGGAGACCTAAGAGAGCTGTGACATTAGAATACTCAGAGACCGCCCTCTCCCCAGAAACTCCCAGCCCCAGCCGGAAGGAAACCTCCAGTCTCCTCCCATTCCAGCGCCTCTTCATCCTTCTCAGCCCAGTGTGCAGAAGTGCCTGGATGGCCTGAGGGAGAAAGCAGAGCAGAGACACACTTGGTCAGACCCGTACAGGCTCCCTGGTCCTTGTGGCCTCTGTTCTTGTGATATCCTTGATCCCTTCTGCTCATCCAATTCTTCCCCTTTCTCCTCCCCAGCACACCATGAGCTCCACTAATATTTCGCTGTGGGACTCTGTATCTGCTCCCATCAGTTGCTGGATGAAGTCATTCTGGTCTCTCTGATAATGATTCAGCTAGGATAATGTCACAGCATATCCTGCAGGCAGGACAAACTGTAGCTCTGAGGTTTTGTGGATGGGTTGGTGCTCCAAACCTTCCACTTGAGTCCTTGCCTGGTTACAGAGGATGGCCAGTTCAGGCGCCATGTCTCCATTACTAGGAATCTTCACTAGTCTCATCATTCCATTGCAATAGGTTTCTACCTCGCTTCTGAAATGCTCTCCAACCCCTGTGTCTTTCCCAGCATTCTCTGTCTTACCACCCCCAACCTGATCCCACCTGTTTCTATCCCTGTTGGTTATTTACACCAGCTCAAGGGGCAAGGAAAGCATCCCCCACCAAGGGCTACCTTTGTAAACTTTGTACAAGTTGTAAATCCTCAAGACACACAAGTGTCCAGAACCCTGCCTGAGGAACTTCAGAGGCCAGGCCCAGCCCCCAGACTTCCCTAATCGCTCTAATGGCCATTTTCTAAGGGTTGTAATTGCCAGCCTAAAGGGCAATTAACCTAAAGGCTGGCAATTAACCCTGCCCTAAAAGGAAAAAAAAAAAAAAAAAAAAAAAAAAAAACAAATCACCAATCCCTCTGAGCTTGCCCCAAATATTAGGCCATATATTCCCTCTGATTTCAGGCCACCTTGAATAGCTTTGCCCCACCCTCCCCACCATCCAAGAAACCCTATATAAATCCTTGTTCTTCGAAGTTCTCTGCTGCTTCCCACCCAAGCAGAGGCAGCCACCTTCCTGGGTTTTTCCCTCCCAATAAATCTCTTGTATAGGTTTGTTGGGCTGTGTGACTCTGTGGTATTCCTTGGCTCCGGACTGCAAGGATACCTTTCAGGGCAGAGCTGTTATACTTGCACTGAGGAAATTTTCTGGGCCACTGGAGCAGAATGTCTGTAGCAGAAGCCTTTTTCTTCAGAGCTGCAACACATACTACAATCACTACTCACTCCCAGTCCACTTGCAAATTCTATTCTATTTCCCTTTCCCAGAAAGAACCTTATGTCTCCCTTGTTACTTGTTATAGGTCTGTGGACTATAGCATAATTATCTTTTACTTTATAGTTAATAGCCACTTATAAGTGAGTACATACCATGTTTATCTTTCTAGGTCTGGGTTACTTCATTCAGGATTATTATTAGAGTTACAGCTGTTTACCAAAAAAAATTTCATGATGTCAATTTTTTTTTAACAGCACTGCAAATGTGCCACTTAAAAAAAAAATCCATTCTTCAGTAGAGGGATATCTAAGTTGTTTCTAGTTTCTGACTATTACAAATAAAGCTACTATGGAGACCCACAACCAAAGAATAGGCTGAGCTTGGGGAGTTCTGTGAAAGAGTGGGAGGAAGGATAGAGAAAGCCAGAGGGTTCAAGAACACCACAAGACCTGTAGAGTAGACCTAGACACCTTACACATATGTAGCTGATGTGCATTCTGGTTAACATGTTGGTCCCCTAAAAATGGGAGTAGAGGCTGTCTCTGACTCTGTTGTCTGACCCTGGATCCCTTCCTTCCAGCTGGGCTGCCATGGGCAAGGATGTGCTTAGTACTGCTTTGACTTGAGGTGCCTCTGAGAAGGAGAGGGGGAGAATGGGAGGAGGGAGACGTGAGGGTGGGACTGGGAGGACAGGAGAAAGGGGGAGTGGGGTCAGGCTGTAAAGTGGTTAAATTAATAAATTATAAAGCAAACATATCACAAATAATGCTGTTATGAACCTAGTTGAGCAAGTATCCTTGCAATAGGATGGAGCATCCTTTGGATATATGCCCAGGAGTGGTATTAGCTGGGTCTTGAGATAGATCAGTTTCCAATTTTCTGAAAAACTGTCATACTGATTTTCAAAGAGACTATAAGTTTGCATTCCCAACCAGCAATAGAGGAGTGTTGCTCCTGCTTCATCCCTGCCCCCATTAGAGTTCTGTTCAGAAAGTTGTCTTCTATATCAGTGCTTGAAAGGCTATTCCCTTCTTTCTCTTCTATCAGAGTCAGTGTTTCTGGTTTCATGTTGAGGTCTTGGATCAACTTGGACTTGAGTTTTGTGCAGGGTAACAAATATGAATCTATTTTCATTCTTCTACATACAGATATCCAGTTAGACCAGTACTATTTGTTAAAAATGCTTCCTTTTCTCCCATTGTATATTTCTAGCTTCTTTGTAAAAAATCAGGTAGACATAAATGTTTGGATTTACTTCTGGGTCTTCAATCAGATTTCATTGATCAACCTGTCTGTTTTTACTCCAGTACCATACAGAGTTTTAAAAATTACTATTGCTCTGTAGTACAGCCTGAAATCAGGTTTGGTGATATGTCCAGAAACTCCTGTATCGCATAGTATTGCTTTAGTTATTCAGGCCTTTTTGTTTTTCCATATGAAGTTCAATAGTGTTCTTTCAAGATCAGTAAAAAATCAGTAAAAAATGGTGCTGAATCTGTAGATTACTTTTGGTAGGATGGACTTTTTATTATGTTTATCCTATCAATCCATAAACATTAGAAAGCTTTCTGTCTTCTGATATCTTCTTCAATTTCTTCATCAAAGACTTGATTTTTAATTATGCAGGCTTTTCACTTGCTTGGTTGGAGTTATCCCCATGATATTTTATACTATTTGTGGCTGCTGTGAAGGCTGTAGCTTCTCTGATTTCTTTTTTTCTTAGCCCCTTTGTCATTTGTATATAAGCATGCACTGATTTTCCTAAAGATCTTCCCTAAAGATATTTATTAGCTGTAGGAATGCCCTGGTAGAATTTTTGGGAGAACTTATTTATGCTATCTTTTCATCTGCAAATAACAATACTTTTAATTCTTCCTTTCCAATTTGAATCTCCTTGGTCTCTTTTGGTTGTCTTATTGCTTTAGCTAGAACTTCTTCAAATACTGTCTTGGATAGATATAGACAGAATGAAAAGCCTTGTATTGTTCCTGGTTTTAGTGGAATTGTTTTGTGTTTCCATTTAATTTGATGTTGGCTATAGACTTGCTGTATACTGTCTTTACTACTTTAGGTATGTACCAGTATCCTCCAAGGCTTTTTATCACAAAGAAGTTTTGGTTTTTGTCAAAGGCCTTTTCAGCATCTAAAGAGATGATAATGTTGTTTTTCTTTTAGTTTGCTTATATGGTGGAATACATTGACAGATTTTCGTATATTGAACCATCCTGTA